GAGACAGTAAATAATTTCCAAACATAAATAGAAACGAAGGATTTTTCTCTTCACTTCTCAAATCTGAAGATAAAAAAACCCTCACACGACAAAAGCAGTTCTATAAAAAAAAAAAAAAAGTCCCCCCTCGATCGTATATGCAAATTAGTCCAGACAAACAGACAAAACATCCCATGAATGAGTCTTTTGTATATCCAGAACAAACCAATTACCACCCAGTTTTAAACCAATCGGATAAAAGCTTTCACAAATCCTCCTCCAATCACGATCGTTTCCCACTGTCATGGTCCCTTGGTGATGTAGTTGACTCAGGTGACTGGCATACGAGTCAAAGTGAGTCCCATGCGAGTCAAGGTGAGTCTCATGGGTCAAGAGTGCGTGAGATGGTGAGGAGAGACATCAATTAAGGAGACAAGGTGTGCACAGTACTTAATGATTCACACCTCCAGTCTCTATATTGTGCTATTGTTGACATTCTCTTCACGATGATAAGAGAGTGGAGGTGAACATGGTGTGTGTGTGTGTGTGCGTGTGTGTGTGTGTGCGTGTGTGTGTGTGTGTGTGTGTGCGTGTGTGTGTGTGTGTGAGTGTGTGTGTGTGTGTGATAAGGGATGCAGATATAGAGAGAATTAAAGCAAAGGGAGAGAAAGAGAGATTAACCTAAACAACAACAATAATAATAATAATAATAATAATAATAATAATAATAATAAAAATCAGAAGAAGAAGAACAACAGCAACAACAACAAACACAAAAACAACAACACCATCTCGGGATTCTAGACACGGTTACTTTCCTGCATAGCCTCTGCCAACCCCAGTAGGTCATAGGTGAGGAACTGCTATTATACCGTGAGTGTGAGGCGTACCCAGTGAGAGAGAGAGAGAGAGAGAGAGAGAGAGAGAGAGAGAGAGAGAGAGAGAGAGAGAGAGAGAGAATAAACATAACTAATTGCCATCATCGGAAAAGGACCGTAATTTCCGAAAAGCGAAATCAATAATAATAATAATAATAATAATTTCCTTACCTTCTCGTTCACCAAAAAGATAAGGTATATTTTTGACCTTGAGTCTTATTAAGTATTCACACAGGTGTAGGAAATACAGGTAACTCACCCCGGGCACACCTGAAGGCCTTATTAACCTTGTGTATGGGTGTGTGTAATAACCTTAAGTGTTCAGTAAGGGAGTGGGTATAGGTGTGTGTGTGTATGTGTGTGTGTGTGTGTTTGTGTGTGTATGTGTGTGTGTGTTCAGTCAAGCGTCTTTATCAATGCAAATAAAATTCATTATACACCAAAAATATGAAAAAAATATATAAAAAATTGAATGACTGTTAATTATAAATATGACACTAATAAAATACACAAAAATACGACCATCAAATAAATAACAGGAGATAATGGCGTTAATGACCTCAGTAAACATTTAAAAGACTTTCAAGACAATAAATGATAAGAAGTTTTTATAGATTCGGTTCATCCCTTCAAGTGTTATGTACACCGTAAGATTAGATATCCGTTTATCCCTGTGTGTATAATGTTAAGCTCCGGTATATATCACAAGAAACTCAATCTGGTTGCTGGTGTTCGCTGCCAGGCATACAAATAATTAATCGATAACTTATTAAAATATACCCATAAATTATCTACTAATAAAAACAGTGTATAAATAATTCTTTATACTGACTGAAATAAATATAATACAGACAGTAATTTGAGGGCATTAATTAATTATATTTTATTTATGTTACGTTTATACTATATTTGTAAATAGTGACCAAGTTCACCCATGCAGCAGTGATGGGACACCTAACTTTGCAGATGAGGGAAGTAAACGGTGGTTGAGTGCAGTGCCTCGCTCATACTGCTTCTATAGTCTACACAGTGTGCTTATGTCCGGGCTTGCCCTTAACGGCCCATCAGATATATGAGAGTAACTTTCAAATAATACGGCAGTAATGAGAGAGTGAAATGGACAGAAAAGGCGAGAAAGAAAAATAAAGAAAAGAGAGAAAGGAAAATACACTAATATTACTTATTGCGAAGTTGAAGTGAAACAGAAAAAGAAGAAAAATAAAAGAGAGGAAGAGGAGAAACAAGAAGAAGGGAAGTTACAGAGTGTTTTATAATACACAATCTACTACACTTTATTAACTACACATAGGGAGACGGATAAATACACACATGCAGTTCAGTATACACCCACGAAATATTAATGGAAATGCTTAGATTCAACAGAAGCTTCGTAGAGAAAATATCCACAATAAATGACATAATTTATTCAGTATTTGACATCAAGTCGTAAAAGTCACTCAGATATCCATGAAATTATGCAATAACTTAGATCGTATGTAAATTAGATGCTGAAATGAAGGTGCATCTAAAAGAGAATACGTTCATTGAATTCCTTGACCATTTTCGTGTTATGCAAATTGGTTTATCTGTTTATCTGTGCAATACTGTGCAGCCTTGTTCAATGTCCGTCCGGGCTGCCTGGATATAAATATTCCTATAAATTTTGTTTTCGGGGTGAAAGTGGAAGGTGGTAGTGTGAAGGTTGTATCCATGTGTGTGTGTGTGTGTGTGCCGCTGCATGGAATGTCAGGACCCTTCTGAATACTGGCACAAATGAGCGTCCTGAAAGAAGAACAGCCCTTGTGGCAAAAGAGCTGGCTAGGTATAATATCGACATAGCAGCCATTAGTGAGTCCCAGCTCCCAGACGAGGGTCGACTCACAGAACGGGGGTCTGGCTATACCTTCTTCTGGAAGGGTAATCCTGCTGCGGAGAGAAGCCGTATATATGGAGTTGGCTTTACCATTCGCCAATCCATCCTACACAGGCTAACTCAAATGCCTGTTGGGACCAACGAGCGCCTCATGACGCCCAGAGTCCCACTGAATCACTCACGTCATGCCTTCTTCATCAGTGCATACGCCCCAACACTGGATGCAGAGGATGACATCAAGGAGGCCTTTTATACCGACCTTGACAGAGTGCTAACCTCTATCCCCAGAGAAGATAAGGTTGTTCTCCTTGGTGACTTCAGTGCCAGAGTTGGCAAAGATGCTGTCATTTGGCAGGGAATCAAAAGGAGAAACGGAATAGGCAAGTGTGATCCCAACGGCCTATTCCTCCTCAGCAAGTGTGCTGCTCACAACCTCGCTATCACCAACACCCTGTTTAGGCAGGTCGACAAGTTCAAGGGTTCGTGGCAACACTCACGATCCAAACACTGGCATCTCATTGACTACATCATTGTCAGACTACATCATTGTCAGAGAAAGAGATCGCCAAGATGTCCTCATCACCCGAGCCATGCTTGGCTCAGACCACTGCGACACTGATCATCGGCTCGTCAGAGCCAGACTCTCACTTCATGTCGCCCCAAAATGGCGAATGCAACAAAGCCTTCAGAAAAGATTTTAACACTAAGTGCCTGGAGGATCCACTGGTAGCACATGCATTCAGAGAGCAGCTTGAACATGGGCCGAGTAGTAGTAGTAGTAGTAGTAGTAGTAGTAGTAGTTTGTGTGTGTGTGTGTGTTTGGTTAGAAAGAGAGAGAGAGAGAGAGAGGATAAAAAGAAACACACTAAGAGAACGGTTCTTAACTACCCTGGCTATTGAACCACCTTCACACTAACAACACCATTATCCTCAGCCTTTATTTTCACTGGACTGGCTGACGGCTAAACATATTTATCTTTAATTTGTTTGTTTACCCAAGATAACGTAACGTAACGAAACGAAACCTAACTTATCCTAACCCAACCTAACCAGTAGACTGCTTTAACAGTCGAGAGAGAGAGAGAGAGTCTCTCTCTCTCTCTCTCTCTCTCTCTCTCTCTCACCAACTTTTGTTTTTGTCTTCCTGTGAGACTCCTGTTGTCAATCATCGGTAACACAGCCACATAAGTTTCCTCCTCCTGCCCCACGTCTGCACCATCCCACCGCAGGCAAGTTCCCCTACCGCCCACCCCTCCAGCCCCCCCACACACACACGCACACACACACACACACCAAGCATCACTACTCTCACACCTTCACCTTTACTGTAACTTGGTAATAAAGGACAAAGTAAAAGAATGAAATAATTTATGGTGTTTATGTCAACAAAGAGGCAGTACAAAATGGTGGAGGAACTGGAAGATTAAAGATCGTAATTTATTTCACCTAAAGATGGATCAGTCTAATGGTAAACTAACCTAACCTAACCTAACATAACCTTACCTAACCTATCCTAACCGAACCTAACATAACCTTACCTACCTTAACCTAATCTAACTTAACCTGACCTAACTTAACCCATACTAACCTAACCTATCTTAACCAAATTAACTTAACCTATTCTAATCTAACCAAACCTAGCCTAACCAAACCAAACCCAACCTTCAAGCAATAATCTGTACGAGGAAACTTGGTGATGATATTTCCCAGTTAGCTTCATGGTGTCCTCGGTGACTGGCTGCGTCTGCGTCTTATCTATGTAGAGAAGTTGTTGATGTCTGTGTAGTTTAGGAGGAGGAAAAGGTGTCTGTAACGAGTTCTATAGGAAGGTGAGGAGTTACTGACAGAAGATATAAATAATTTTCTTCCTCCTGGCACAGTGATGGCATGTGGCCGATATCGTCTCGTCGTCACTCTTGTCTCCGTGGCTTCGTTCTTCTCGCTGGTAAGTTTTCATGGCATGGCATCGTGTTCTGCCCACTCCACTGTGTTTTATATATATATATATATATATATATATATATATATATATATATATATATATATATATATATATATATATATATATATATATAACATTTGTTTAACAGTGCATGAGTTTTTAAATGCCACATTGACGTTCCAGGTCGTGTGTAATAAGATGGTGGGGGTAATGTTACAATATGGTAGAGCTAATCATCAGGTGATATAGATTGATTGATAAAGGTAAATAACAGTTGAGAGTTGTTCTCAGACAGCTATGCTTGTGGGTTACTTTCAGGTGGCGGTGTACGTGGGCGGCGGGGGTGGCAGGTGGCAGGTACCGGGGGAAGCGACAGTCATGCACAACGAGTTAATCAGCAGGATGAGAGGGCCCCTGGCCGGTGAGGAGCCCTTGGTAGTGGCGGAGCTGAAGGAGAAGTATCTGGCCCCGCCTTCTACCCTCCCCTACAACCTCACCCGCCACAACATCGTGAAACTCAAGTTGGGACAATCCTTCGGCTGGGAGTTTTATCATTACTATATAAAGTACTTCTTCGGTGACCAGCGAGGCGGGTTCTTCCTGGAGGCGGGCGCCCTTGACGGGGAGGTTCTCTCTAACACACTCTGGTTGGAGATGAACCTGGGATGGTCGGGGCTGCTAATCGAAGCTGATCCCGGCAACTTCCAACATCTCACGTGGAGGAGGCGTCGAGCATGGACCTCTAACACCTGTATAGCTAAAGAGAAGTACCCAAGAGAGGCTGTGTTTGAGGTTCTCCAGCCCGACAACAACGTAGGAGACAATCAGTGGATCTTCAAGGCCAACACACGAGAAACAGACTCTTACTTCACCAAGTTCTACGATGAGTTGAGTGGTTCTTCCCGAAGGTCCTACTCAATGGCGCAATGTTTCCCTCTTGTCTCTTACCTCCTGGCCCTCAACGTCACCACAATCGACCTCCTCTCACTCGACATCCAAGGCAACGAATGGGAGGTGATAAAGTCACTTTCCCCGGGGCAGGTGGTGGTGAGGGCAATGGCTGTAGAACACTTCGCACCGGCAGAGTCATTCAGCGGAGGACAGAGACTGGACGAAGCCTTCATTAAGTATATGGAGGGTGTTGGCTACATCCTCGTCGACGTCAACCTCAAGACAGATTACTTCTTCATCCTTAAGACAGATCAGCGACTGAGAGTTAAAAGTGACCCAGACACAATAGTTAAGTACAAGAACAAGTAGTGAGAAGCAAAACAGGGGCCTTTAACTGAGTAAACTGACCTAATCTAACCTTATCTGACCTAACTTAATCTACCCTAACCTAGCTTAACCTAGACTAAAATAATCTAACCTAATCTAACCTAACCAAATATAACCTTATCTAACCACCCCCCTCATTAATAGATACACTGAATATGTTGCAATATATCATCAGTGTATTCCTGGTAACTCGCTCCCAAAAAAATATCTCTACTGAGGGATCCAATGAATTTCAGAATGAACACTGTGACTCCTGTTGTCTCGGTAAGGTTGTCAAAATCCTTCGTACGTTGTGTCATATTTCTCATACAAAATCGTAAAGATATTTTTTTGACCGATGCTTAATGTTGATTTATTATGGTATCTTAAGTGAATAAATATGGACGACAATTACAAGTTGCATCTTTTTATTTTCCCTTGTAATTATTTTAGTTGTTCATGAATTAGTATACTTGACTAAAGGCTTTATAGTTCAGGTTTAGTTATATATTATAATAAAAATTATAATAGTTTAGGCTTTTAATCAACTGAAATCGTTTTCTTTGAAGTCTCCCACCCGTCAGATACCATTTTCTTTCACAGACTAGAGAAAAAATATACCCAAATTCTACGGTGGGTGATAGAACTTAACCCAAACCCATTTAAAAACATCACCCATGGCCCATAACATTTTTAAACCATAACAAAAAACCGATCTTAAAACTCCGAGAGATATGAATGACTACACAGAACAAAAAATATTCAAAGTTTAGTTTAAGTCCTGATCATGTTTTAAAGATGTTTCCGACAACCTCTAACCTTATTCTCATCTATACACCTCACTGATACATCATTACGGACTATTGGTATTCCTCCTTCATCAGCAATAATGGTCTCTCTCTCTCGCACAACTTCCACCATTGACCAAAGAGACACATCACTACCCCACACACACACACACTCGTCAAGCCTATCACAGTAGAAGCCTCGCCCTCACAGAACTCTCTCTACACTATCCCTTCAAGGTTATTCTGCTCACAGTAATCATAGTCTTCAGCACCATAAATCTCAGTGACCATGAAGCCATTCTCAGCGCCGATAACCCATTTCTTAAACGCCAATAACCATGACGCCAATATAAGAGCCGGTGTGGAATTGAGCTTCATAATCATACCTCAGAGTCTAATAATAATCATATATCGGACTCTGATCTAACGGACAAACCTCTTATATCATGTCCGTTAGAAGGAAGTTTAATTTATAACGGACTTTGATCTAACGGACAAACCTGTTAGAAGGAGGTGACCTTTACATTATTACCAGATCAGTTATCTTACCTTATGCTTTTTAGGTCTGTTTAGAGTGATGACATCCCTTAAAACACCCCTTATCTCCTTCGCTGTTGCTGTTTACACAAGACATGAGACCTGAGAGGTATTCTGGGTGACTGAACTTTGTGCCGATATCTTTTTTCCTCGATGAAACACTATGTAAAGAAGCTGGCAAACTAAACACATTGATGTTTGGTATTTTGAAACGAATTGTATACTGCTGTTGAGTTTTAATGCATT